AGAGCAATGTACCTCCTTGTGTGGTGGACGGGTGAGCCAGGGAATAAGGATGAGAAAACTCCAAAATAGGGGGTGAAGTTTCGAGACCGATGGAAAGGGGCTCCTGCGGCAGAGAGGCTGTCACCTGAGAGTTGTCCCAGGAGCTCATCACTCTGTCTCCTCAACAGTGAGGTTGGAGATTTTTAAAGCCCAAGTAAAAGAACTCTATTTTCCCTTGTATGAAAACCAGCAAATGAGGTGGGCATATGTTATCCAATAAAGAGAACTGTGTGATAATAATTTAGCTTGGGGCTCTTGTCTGTCAATTCCATTTTGTAGCATAATGGTAAGTTGGCACGATTGGCTAATTTTTCCGTAACAATATCCTAAACCTTCTGAGCTCCTATCACACAACTCCTTCCTAGGAGAAATGAAAATGTCATTTCCTCCCACGGGAGCTCTAAGTTATACTGTTTACACACTCTTTTTTTTTTTTTTTTAAAGATTTTATTTATTTATTTGAGAGAGAGAGAATGAGAGACAGAGAGCATGAGAGGGAGGAGAGTCAGTGGGAGAAGCAGACTCCCTGCCGAGCAGGGAGCCCGATGCGGGACTCGATCCCGGGACTCCAGGATCATGACCTGAGCCGAAGGCAGTCGCTTAACCAACTGAGCCACCCAGGCGCCCTGTTTACACACTCTTTCACATGGTTCCTCTCTGATGTCACACAAGCAATAGTTCTGAGAGTAGAAAGTGGCTTTTATAGTAGAAAAGTAAAAATTCAAAGTCCATAGGTAGGAAACAGGTGAGGCAACACGTGGTATATCTAGACAAAGGAATAGCATTTACCTATTAAAAAGATGTTATAGATTTATATGAACTGAAAGGAAAGATGTTCATGTTACTGAGTCCTGTGATAGAGGCATGGCCAGGAACAGAATGGAGAAACATCATCCCATTCAAGGCAAATGACACAGGGGTTTCAAGCCTGGACCTCGGGGCCAGACTCCCTACGTTTGAACGTTAGCTGTGAGAGTTTGGGCAAGTGACTTCTCTGTGCCTCAATTTTCCCATCTGGAAGTGGGAATACTGATGGGAATAGTACCTACCTCATACAATTGTGTCGATATGGGACAATGCCACACACAAAAAATAGGTCTTAAAGTTTAAATACTCCTCAAAAGGATGACTTTCAAAAATGATCACTCTCTTGCCTAATGGTTTATGGTTCCCGGATACTAGTTTCTGAAATATTTAAAAGGTTTTCCATTCCATATATCTTTATTTGGCTCTGCACAACTGATAATACTTTCCAACATTCTATAGCATATACATGAAAAATTTATCTCCACCTCATTTTGACACATGATAAAACCTTTCGTTTGTATTTACAAATGGAGACCAGTTTTCTATTTGCCTTTAGGCTCTTATTCCAAGACTGTTCGATATAAAAAGGATACAAATTCATAGTTTTGGCACAATTCAATAAACTGGACTCCCGTCTCCAGATTAGCAGCCGGAACGGTAAGGACTACCATTTAAAAAGAAAGTCTCTCCAAATAAAGGAATAGAAATATAACTTGTATAAAATATCATTTATTTTGGACATTTCTTGCCCTAAAAGTACACTTAGAGGCATTTTTCTTTGTATGTCGATACCTCAGCATTTTTCAGTCTATCACATGGGGCAGTAAATCTGTCTACAGCGAGTTTTAGCAAACCTCATTCACCAAACAATTTGTTGAGCATCTAGAATATGCCAGAGCCATACTGTGCTTTTAGAAAAGTTGGGACTCGTAAGTGTCTGAAGGTTTGATGCTTTGGCAAGATTTCCGTTTGTAAGCTCCGAGTGTGCTTTCCTGTATTTTTTCTTCTAAGGTTTTGGGAATTTGGTCCAACAGCCTAGATGGAGTCAAAGCAAGCTTCTTGGGTTGCTCAGATGCAACAAGAGGAAAATTACTCCTAACTAAAGGGGTCCCTGCTCTCTGCCCATGGTCTGGGGGCTCAGGAGTCAGGGGGAAGCACTCCACAGCTGTCCTCATTTTCCCAGCCCCAGGCTGATTCACACTAACTGAAGAAATTTGGTTCTTTCCTTTTTGCATATCCCCAGAGAAATCCAGATGTTTCTAAGCATTGTTAGAGAGTAGGTGTTTGCTCACCTTTAAATAAGATTTTTGAGCCCCTCAAAACCATTTTGAAGGAATTCAGATCCTTTTGGTTTTAAACTACAGTTTAAAAACATTTTCATTGAGGGTCAAAGCATTTTAAATAACAAATAAAACAGCAAACATCCCGTGAGCTCCTTTCCTGTGGTAGGCACAGCGCCACATGCTTTCCTAAAACACGGGCTCATTTGACATCCATGAGCACGCACAAGGGAGAGGCTCCCTACTTTACAGAGAGGAAAATTGCCCCCTACTTTACAGAGAGGAAAATTAAGCCACTGAGGTGAAGTAGCTTGACCGGGGTAAAGCAGGTAGGAAAAAGTAGAATTTGGAAAGGCACACAGATTAGCTCTGCCGACTGCTCACAACCATTGTGCAAATCTGCCAGACAGATGATCCCAGGGGTGTGAATGGGCAACACTGCCTACTTGGTAGGAAGATGAAAGAGAAGCGATCAGATACATCATAGAGCCCTCGTCATTCATTATCTTAGCCTTCTTTTCCACATTCCCTGATCCGACAGGGTTAAGGTATTAAGAGTATAAATAAGATATTAAAGCAATGAAAAAAAACCACTTGAAATGGATCAAAATCATCTGATTTTAAACCTTAACTATTTAAAACATGTCAGTTTTGAGAAAGCATAAAGCATTTTGAAGTAATTTAGCTTAAAGAGCTCTTGATTTTACACAAGCTTAAAGAGCTCTTGATTCTACACAAGCAAAAAAGAGCTACTAAAAATTGTCAATATTTAAGTTGGAATTTCAAAAAGGAAGTGTATGGAAGCTTTGCTTTGATACTCTGAACGCTGTAAACATGTGTAGTTTTAGATTCTTGGCTGACTTTGAAACCCACCTGACGGGGCTAGATTTCTCAAATTTTCTCAGAACTGATACCAATATTCTTTGGCTTCTCCTTTCAAAGGCTGTTGATTGTTGTTTATGCCACATGCACAGTTCAACAAGCTGGGTTCCTATCTGTAGAAAACTTAAACCATAGAGCTTTCTATTGTCCTTTAAATAGATAATACTAAACGTTGTTAAGGCTAAATAAAAAACAAGTTAGCTGCCATAGCTGAGGGTTTACATAAGCCACAAAAAATCAGTGTGTTCTAAAAAAAAAAAGCAGATTTAACAAATTTCATAGAGGTCAAACAAGTAGGTTTGGCAGAATGGTCATGGATTCCTCTTTACAACTTGTAGAAGAATGCGGCATTTTTGACCCTAAGTATCAAAGATGCTATTATTAAAGTGAACTTTAAAAATGTGTGAACAAAATCAGGTTGCTAAGGGGATCGGTTATTTTTTTTCCAGAGAGAAGTCAACATCTAATGGGGAGGGGGAGAGGACGAGGGGTTCCTAGGATATCTCAGCACTTGTGTGAGAGGTCATTCTTCATTTGTCAAAGAACGAGAAATGAAGGAAAGTGATTTGCATGTTGAAAAAACTCTGAATGTGACACCAATCAATCAATTTGACCAATATTAATTAACAAGGCACTGGATTAGGAGCTTTTAAAAAGCAGAAACAAATCAAACAGGGATCTGCATTCAGGAACTGATATTCTGGTTGGGGTAAAACAGAAGTTTCCTGGTAATAGGATGGCACAGTGAAAACACTGAAAGAAGAATGCCCAGTTCTTTTGGGGCAGGCAGGGACTTGGGAGTTTGAAAAGCCTCCTTAGCAAGGGTGACCCTTAAGTTAACTGTTGAAATATCAATGTTTCCCAGATGGACAGGGTATACTAAATATTTAAAATACTCCCCTAGAAGGAACAGAGAGACCATTGGTGACACAGTCCAGTGCTGCATTGTCCAATGTCGTAGCCCACATGTGGCTCTTTAAGTTTAAATTTATGTTACTTAAACTTAAACACAATTAAACATGTGTGTTAATTAAATGTATGTCAAATAAAATCAAATAAAATTTGAAATTCAGCCATATTTTAATCGCTCAACAGCCACATGGGGCCATGGCTATTGTGCTAGAAGCGGAGGCATACGACGGCTCCATCCTCAACAGAGATTTCTGTTGGACCATGCTGGGAAACAGCAAGCAGACAAGCACTGTTAGAGTATAAGGTTTAAGGGTGTGTGTGTGTGGCAAGAGCTAAGCCTGGACACAGAGGTTGCACTGAAAGAACGTGTCGTAACACAGAGTTCAGACCGTATCCACTAGGCCAGGTTTCAGAAAACGTTTTCTGTAAAGGGTCAGATCGTAAATATTTTTGGCTTTGGGGACCACATAGTCTTGGCTGAAACTATACAACTCTGCTGTCGTAGCCTGAGATCAACCATTAGACGGTACATAAATGAGAAGTGTGGCTGTGTTCCAACAACATTTTATTTGTGGAAACTGGCAATGGGCTGGATTTGGCCCACAGACCATAGTTTGCTGACCCCTCTGCTAGGCCACTAGGAGCTATCTGAAGGGTTTGAGGCCAGAAAGCTGCCTAATTAGATATGTGCTTTAGAAAGACCGTTCTAGTAGCAAAGTCATGACGAATTTAAGGAATGTGAGTTGCAAAAGTATAATCCTCCAGTCAAAGAGGATAAGGGTCTGAATTCGGAGTGTAGTCTGTTAAATATAGTTAGAGAGGAGGGAATGTGTATGTGCTTTTAAGCTGGGTGGCAGGGCCCTGGCGGCAGTGGGGAAATATTACATGGTGTAGACGTATAAGGTTTGGGTGACTGGAGAGAGGGTGGCTGCATTGACCGGGTTATAGAATATAGAAGGAAGAACAGATTTGGAGAAGGATGATGACTTCAGTTTGGGTCAGGTGGTATTTGAGCTGCCAGTCATGTGAGTCATCGGAAGGGGGGTCGTGGCTGAAGCCTTGAGAGTGACAGAGAATACCCGGGCAGAGTGAGAGCGGAAGGAAGGCAAAGACGGCTACCTTGCGTATCACCACACAAAAGGCGTAAGTTCAAAGGGAGCTGAGAAGGAATTGTTACAGGCACAGAGAGGAGAACCAGGCAAGAATCAAAGGACGATTTTCAAATGTAATTAAGCACAGTAAAACGATTCCATAGAGTTTGGCAATTAGGAGGCATTTTTGGGAAGTTGCTCAGAATAGATTTCCTAAAACAGAACAAAAAATCACCCCTTAAGTGTCTGAAACTACCCTTTTTGGAATATGATTAAGTGAGGTGATAGCTATGACTTTTCATGGTCTTGGTTTTTCTTTTGGTGTTAAGTATTAGGATTACTTATAAGTGAGAAGATAATTTGGTCCTTAGCTCACCTTGTAAATGACATAGTCCAGCAATCACTTTATCTGGGGGTGGAAGGGCAGGTGAGATCCTGTCTAGTCACCCGTGAGGTGATCTCTGCCCAAATTTCTTGGGTGAACTTCATGCTGTGAGGGTTGGAAAGTTGCTAGATAACCTCTTAAAATGAAACAGAGTTCTGCTTTTAGGGTATGTGAAAACAAAAATGGTGGACTTATGACGAGGGACCCGAGAGCTTTATGGAATGAGCAGTCTTGAAACATACAAAAGTTTTATCCTTAAGCCACCTTAATAAAGAAACTAGGTGGTAACCGCTTTAAGATAGAATCATGTGATTTGGGAGTGTTCCATTTTGCAATTTAATGGATTAGTCATCCCTTCAATGGAAGAGTTTCAAATGATGATTTATAGCCACCTTTTAAGAAGTTTATATTAGGAAAATCTTTTACATTCCAAATAGATGAATATATCTCACTCAAAAGCATGCTCATGGTTTTCAAGAGTAATTCTTGACAGATTAAGAATTAGAATTTGTTCTTAAAGGAATTGCTTAATGAACGTCTGAGGAACACACATTTCTGAGCACCTTAATTTTACCTCTATAGCCACTTTAAGGGAAAAATGAAGTTACATGACAATAACACAGCAACAACAACAAAAATAAAGTAAGGAATGCTTTCGTCCCCAGTGACTGATTGGTTTGCTAGGTTAGCCAGCTTTAAGTGGCACCACAGTTTTACTGGGAGATGACTTCCTTCTCTGTGTAAGCTGCTCTCTACTCCTCAACCAGACTATGCCTTGCTGTAAAGAGTCGCCCCGAGAACATGTAGGTTACTTGAGTAGGCAGAGACATCTCCCCAGTGCAGCAGTAAATAGAACTCTATACAGAGCAGTGCTAAAAAGGAAATCTGGATACTATATACTAGTCTTTTTTACTTTTAGTTTTTGATACTGAAAGAATGGCGATCAGAATCACAACTGGAATTTTTAAAGAACTTAATAAATTTGTAAACTTTGTTTAGAAAAAATATGTAGAGAAGGACATCAATGGATATTGTGAAAAAGAAGAGCAATGATGGAAGGGGATGGAGGAGATTAGCCCTATTCAATATTAGAATATATTGTAAAATAATAATTGTGAATGTATGATACTACAAAAAAAATATAGATGGCTCAAAAGAGAGCCATAATATATGCTAATCTAAAGATAACAAAAATAGGGAAAGAAAATATTAAATAGATATTATTTTAACTTCACATTTACTTCTTACATGTGTCAGAATAAATTTCAAAGGGACTGTAGAGTTAAGAAGGAAAATCAGCAGAGGACAGACTACAGTATTTATCCAAAAAGGTGTTGGTTTTTATTTTTAATTTTTAAAAAATTTTAAAGTTTTTTTAGAGGGGGACAGGAGGGGCAGAGGGAGAGAGCGAGAGAATCTTAAGCAGGCTCTGTGCTGGGCGTGGAGGCTGACGTGGGGCTAGATCTCATGACCCTGAGGCTCAGGCTGTGATCTCAGGGTCGTGGAATGGAGCCCTGCATAGGGCTCTGCACTCAGCTTGGAGTCTGCTTAAGATTTTATGTCTCCCTCTCCCTCTGCCCCTTTCGTTCATACTCTCTCTCTCTCTCTCAAATAAATAAATAAATCTTTAAAAAATATCAGGAAAAGGCTTATAAAATTTACGATGCAAGAAAGTGAACTTATGAAAACTCCTTGAAGCATATATAATAAAGATACCTCTCAGATATTAGTATGAATACCTCTTTTTACTTTTTAAAGAACAAAAACCTAGTTTTATTCCCACAAAATAAAAATGTCCATTAACATTGCCAAAACTCATCTGGAGAGCCAGAACGTTCCCTCCTCTTTAGAGACTGCCAAGCACTCATTGTGAACCTGTGGGAAGCAGCAGTGACAAAATCTAAGTGCAAACTGCATGATGTGAGGTTGGCTTATGTTTTCTGAACTAAGAATTCTGGGTGTTACAATTATAATCTCTGTGTTTTCCATAATTAAACAGAAGTGGATTGGCCTGGATATCCTCATTTCTATCTAGAGTGAGAATTTCGTTTGCAATTGTGTCGTTACTTATTAAGTCAGAAGGATGGTTTTGCCTTAATCAGATCGGACTCTACAAAATTGCGAGTCCAGTAGCAAATATGAAGCTTAGGGTACACAAGATAGCATGGTGGAAAGCAAAATAATTGGGGAGAAGATACACTGGAATGTCAAAGGGGCTTTCTGAACATTTCAAGGCATTGACGAGAGAAATTCTGAAGGCAGGACACAGCAAATCAAGGGTGATTAAGAGTGGGGAGACAGTGAAAAGTGAGAACTTTCTTGAAAAGGTTGGAGCCATGGATAAAAGGAAGTGTCAGAGCCGGTGTGGCCAACCTGAAAGTGAAGTCACGCAAGTACAGCTATGACAGGGGCAAAGAAAGGTCTCATACTTTGTCTAGTGATACAGCGAGAAAAGTGTTTCCTAAAATGTTAACAGTGGTTTTCTTTGCATGGTGGGATTTTTACTCTCTCTACATTTTCCTGTATTTTTTTGGAAAAAAAAAAAAAGATCATCATCGAGCATCTCATATTTACAAGAGAGGAAAATGATAAAGATAGTTACATTTAGAGGAAAGAGGTTATGTGCTGATATATAGTGGATAAACAGGCTGTATGAATGCACGGGCCAAGAGTATAGAGCATGGAGTATTGTAGTGAAATTTCCAGCTCGGTGTATCCAGTCTATGTGACACTTAAACTTTCCCCCCTGCTTTTTATTATGAAAAATTACAAGCATATCCAAAAGTTGAAATTGGGCGCCTGGGTGGCTCAGTTGGTTAAGCGACTGCCTTCAGCTCAGGTCATGATCCTGGAGTTCCGAGATCGAGTCCCGCATCGGGCTCCCTGCTCAGCGGGGAGTCTGCTTCTCCCTCTGACCCTCCTCACGCTCATGCTCTCTGTCTCTCATTCTCTCTCTCAAATAAATAAATAAATCTTTAAAAAAAACCCCAAAAAACCAAAAGTTGAAATTGAAGTTGAAAGTGAACATCAATATACTCAACCTAGATGCTTTAATTGTTAGCATTTTGCTATTCTTTGCTTTATCACAGCCTTTGTTTTTTGATGAATTTCAGAGTAAATTGCATAAACCAATACCCTATTTAATACTAAATTTTTAACAACCTTCCCCCACCCCTGCACCCCCATGCAACTCAAGACTAGTTCAGAAACCCCCAGTAGGCTGTTATGCATTTAAATCTGATCATGTTTCTTATACCTAGACACTGTTTCTAAACCATACATGTCCAAAATCAGCTGCCTACCCAGAAGGCAAGGTTTACCAAACCTTACCCTGACTCTTTCTATATATCCAGAACTGTGTAATTTGTTTAACTCATAAAATATTAAAGACAGAAAGGGAAACTATCTAATCCGGGATCACCAATTCCAGTGTTTCCAGGAACCAAGCAGGTAACATTAAAAAATGGGTATCTCATGTAAGAAATCAAATGGATCTGGTAATGGAGACTGGCCAAGCCTCCTTGTAGGGACGCAGCAAGGAGAAACAAAGCTACCCAGAGAGCTTGAGAAAACAGAATTTTCAGTTGGGGCAAGGCTTCTAGTCTCAGCCTACTGGTTCCAAGAGCCCTTTATTGTAACCATCATTTCTCTTTAGTCTTCCCCATGGGTCTAGGGCAAATTTACTAGAATAATTAAAATAGTACACTGTTAAATCAAATCCTTCTCTTAAAGTATTTATAATTGCAGGGTCCATAGCTGTTCAGTTCAGTGCAGACTTTAACAATGGAAACAGTAGTGTAGATACTACAAATGCAAAAATGTGCTATGTGTCTAGTTTTTGCAAGTTACTTGCCCAAGAAAGCAATATTCCCTCATGTCTGGATTTACTGTCTGTAATGAACCCTGAAAGAGGAGAGAAACCAGTGTTCTCACTGATCAAAGAGTAGGTATACCATCATTTCTTAGGAATGTCCTGGCAGGACTTTTTCTTTCTTTCTTTCTTTCTTTCTTTCTTTCTTTCTTTCTTTCTTTCTTTCTTTCTTTCTTTCTTTCTTTCCTTCCTTCCTTCCTTCCTTCCTTCCTTCCTTCCTTCCTTCCTTCCTTCCTTCCTTCTTTCTCTCTCTCTCTCTCTCCCTTCCTTCCTTTCTTTCTTTCTTTCTTTCTTTCTTTCTTTCTTTCTTTCTTTCTTTCTTCCTTCCTTCCTTCCTTCCTTTCTCCCTTCCTTCCTTTTTCTCTCTTTCTTTCTTTCTTTCTTTCTCTCTTTCTTTCTTTCCCTCTTTCTTTCTTTCTTTCTTTCTTTTTCTTTCTTTCTTTCCTTCCTTCCTTTCTTCTTTCTTTCTTTCTTTCTTTCTTTCTTTCTTTCTTTCTTTCTTTCTTCCTTCCTTCCTTCCTTCCTTCCTTCCTTTCTTTCCTTCCTTCTTTCCTTCCTTCTTCCTTCCTTCTTTTTCTTTCTTTCTTTCTTTCTTTCTTTCTTTCTTTCTTTCTTTCTTTCTTTCTTTCTTTCCTTCTTTCCTTCTTTCCTTCCTTCCTTCTTTCCTTCCTTCTTCCTTCCTTCTTTTTCTTTCTTTCTTTCTTTCTTTCTTTCTTTCTTTCTTTCTTTCTTTCTCTCTCTCTCTCTCTCTCTCTCCTTCCCTCCCTCCCTCCCTCCCTTCCTTCCTTCCTTCCTT